GCCCTTGAACATGACTATATATAAACAGCATGTAGTTGTACACTGAATGCACACACAAAATAGTTAAAATTAAATAAAAACTTCTTTCATTCGGTGCGAAAGCGAAACGTACCCACAGTGAATAGGAGTAAACACAAAAATTAGCAAAGACGACCTTACAAACCTTTTACTGACTACGTCAACGCCATTTTAAATACAGGTTCGTGTACACTTTGAATCAATCAAACAACGGATTTCCCCATTTTCATTACGGTTTTTGTACAATTTGAGTGTAATTGGCCAATTTAAAGTACGATTGTGAAATAAACCTAATGTCTGACTCATCATGATACTTGTAACTGTGGATATTTGACGTTCAGCGGTACTTGGTTGGATCGAAATTTGAGACATGGCGGGACACGGTAAAAATAATAATATTCATTAAGCCTTTGAAACGACAACAAAAGCAAACAAAAGTGATAAAAGAAAAGGGAAATATTGTACATATCTGAGAATGAATAAAAATTAAATTAGAAAATAATTCTCATGATTAATTCATACAACTTTTATTTCTGGGTTTAAAAAAGATATTTAAGAAATGGTCGTATCTCTTTAAAACAATATCCTGCAATTCATTTTTAATATTCCAGGGAATGTCACCAAAAAGCAAATTCAACTTGAAATTTAACTCATCTGAGATAAGGAAATTTGTTAGTGTCTGTCCTTCATCAATATTCGAAACTATTAAACTATTTTGATCAAATCAGAGTAATCAGTACGGTGGCGTATCATGTACGGTGACCGGCACGGCAATCTCAGACTCAACATCTGACCTGAATACATCTTTGGTATAACCAAGGTTTTGTGACAGTATGCCTGACGAGTTTTGTCGTTGTTCTGGGGGTAATTCTGTCGGATGCTCGCTTCATTTTTGTAACAGGACACGTACATGTTATGCTTTGTCCCAACTCCAGCCCAATCAGCCGACTGTGCACACCGTCGCTCCAATACAGCGTTTGAGTAGACTCGGGACAAATCTGCAGCTTTCGAAATTACCTTCATTATCCTCGCTAATTTATTTATACATAGTGGATAATTACAAAAACATACATCGTCGTCAAATTCTACATTATCCCGAAGCCTTTTAAAGAGTTGTCCCGTAACGATGCAATTATGTCAGACATAATTCGAACGCCGCTACGGGATACCGGTTGATATTGGTGGTATACATATATTCTTGTGTCTGGTAGTTTTGCATTTTTTGTTCGTCCTTCAATCTCATCTACTTGGTCGCCAGTTAAACTTACAAATGTTGGTGG